GGGCATGTGCCCTGACTGGGAATCAAACCCTGATCTCCTGGATCCCAGGTCGATGCTCAACCACTGAGCCAAGCCCGGCCAGGCAACACACACATCTTTTTCATTGCTTGTTTTATTACTGATTTTTCAATTGTTTTAAAACATACACAACAGGAAACTTGCCATTTTAAAGTATATAATTCAGGGGTATCAAATATATTCACACGTTGCCCTGGCAGGCGTGGCTCAGTGGTTAGAGCATCGACCCTCACACCGAAGGGTCTTGGGTTCGATTCGTGGTCAAGAGCACGTACCTAGGTTGCAGGTTCAATCCCCAGCCCCGGTTGAGGTGCCTACACTCAGGAGGCAACCAATCAACATCGATGTCTCTCGTCTCTCTTTTCTCTCTCTCTCTCCCTCCTTCACTCCCCCCCACTCTCTCTAAAAATCAATGGAAAAAATATCCTCAGGTAAGGATTAACAAAAAAAATAAGTAAAAATAAATATATTCACATATTATACAATTATCATTACCATCCATTTCCAGAAAGTCTCATCCTCACAAGGAGAAACCCTGTACCCTTTGAACAGCAACTCCCCACTCTCCTGCAGCCCCTGGTAACCTCCATCCTATTTTCTGTCTTTATGCATTTGTGGTACCTCAAATAACTGGTACCTCAAATAAGTACCTCATTTAAGTGGACTCAGACCATATGTGCCCTTTTGTCTGGCTTCTTTCACTTAGCATAAATTTAAGGTCCACCCACATTGTAGCATTTATCAGAACTTCTTTCTTTTTTACGGCTGAATAATATTCCATTGTATGTATATTTTCTTGTTCATTCATTCATCGTTAATGAACATTCTGGTTGGCTCTGTCTTTTGGCTACTTTGAATAATGCTGCTGTGAACACTGGTGTACAAGTATCTATCTGAGTCCTTGCTTTCAATTCTTTTGGATGTGTACCCAGGAGAATATTCAACGTATTTCACAACTGATTATTAGTGGTATACAGCAGGAGGAGGGTACCGCCTTTCTAATTAGAAAAAAATTATTAACATCCCCTATCCTCCCCCAAGAAATAACCCCAAACAAAACCAAAACATACATATTCATCCTTCAAGGTATTTGCCGAATACCTGCTTCCCCAGACCCTGACCTCACTGTGACCAGTGATATTGATAAACTCTTGTCCATTCCTAGAC